TTCCAGTCTGAAACCATCCTCACTCTTCACTCAAAGGAAATTCACTATCTGAGAGTCCTCTGCTAGTTCCCGAATTCTTCCTCTGGGCCACTGGAAGATGGGAGACAGGAAATGGATGCTTCTTGCCCTCCCTGAGGCAAAGGAAAAATCCATTAGAGATGGCCCAGATTAGAGATGGCCCAGAGGTGTGGCCTCAAAGCCTTTGGGGAAGAAGAGAACACCTTCCTCTGTACTACTGCATACAGAGGAGGATGAACATGTGTCCTGGGGACCCTCTGAGACACACTACCAAGGCCACGTCAGGAGCCAGCTGCCATTAGAGTCCAAGGTTCTGTTAGCTGTACCCAAGCTGCACCCAAGCTGCCAGCTGGCAGAGAATGTCTCCTGTGCATCCTGCTGCCTCCTGGGATGCTGCCTTTGACCAGACAACAGGCAGTAGAACACCCCTGTAGGCATCTAGAGCCAGCAGGGACTGGCTGCAGCCAGATGCAGTTTCCACAGGAGAAAAGCCAGGCCTGTCCTTGAGGCCTCCTGAGGCTTGCAGCAGCTGGCGCCTAAAAAGCTGGTACATTTTAGTGGAAGGACCCCAAGTTAGAACACAGGCTCTCCCTTTCCTGGATGTGAGAGCTCAACAAGTCTTTTGATTTCTCTGAGTGAGCACTTTATTATCTGTGACTTAGAGAAGGAAAGCCCTTTCCTCACAGAAGGATTAAGTGAGGAGTTAAGTGGCAACTTGGCCCAGACATTCACCCAGGGCCCCGTGTTCCCCTTTCTCCTAGTCTTGTGTGCCTGAGCCCCCAGGACTGGCATCACTGCCACAGTCAGGGCAGTGTCCTTCCCACACCCAGGCTGCCCAAGCCCTCCATGGGTGCCTCCCTCGACCTGCCTCGCTGCTCCTTCCGCTGCACCCTGGGAGGTGGTGACGCCCCAGGGTGAGTTTGGAAACAGGAAGGTCTGTGAGGCCCAGTCCTTTCCTTTCTTCTTCCTCTCAGGATCCACTTGCTCACAGGAAGCATCTGCGGTCCCTGCTCATGCTCTTGTGGGGAATCCTGCAGCTGTGTGGCCACACAGGGTTCAGAAACCCAGAGCAGACACATGACTACTTTTGGGCTACTTTTTCACATTTGCCCAGGCTGAAGGGTGTTTGGTTCTCTCCCTGTCTGCTCTGCTGGACCTGAGAGTGGGCTCCTCGAACCCAGCCCTTCTGAAAGCATTGTCTGAGTCATGGTCTCCTATCTGCAAGAGACACAGATAGACATGCTTGTGACGTGTGTGTCAGCAAATCCGCTCTACCACAAATACTCCCCTCATGACTGCACAGGTCACCTGAGGCTCGCTAAGCTACGCCTTGTCCACCTCACCACACCCCAAGCTCTATTTCTCATCTGTCTTGGTCTTTATCTTCCTTCTCCCTCTTTGTCTCTGTCTTTCCATCTCTCCCACTCTTGCTCCTCCCACTCTCCTCCCACCACATATCTCTATCTCCTACTCCCTCTTTGTCTATCTCCCCCTCTCTGCCTCTCTCCCTCCTCCTCACCTCTACACCATGACACACCTGTGAGTTGGCACCAGTTGTTTAACAAATGCTTCCATGATAACCCACCTGCCACTGTCCCTGTCACCCAGGAAACCCACAATCAGCCCCTGTAATCAGACTCGCTTGCCCTCTCTCAGCACCTGCCCTGGCCCCTTGCAGTGATTGTGGGCAACACAGATGCTCCAACCATGTGTTGGTACACTGTCCACCTGAACACCCCTACAGGTCCATGCCAGTGTGCCAGCCCCATGTGGGCTCACAGTGGCTGTGAGCTGGGCACTTGGGTGACTGGTGTTGAATTGGGTACAAACCAAAGTGATAATATGAATTGAAATCAAAGCAGTGACTACAACCGAGCAAACACCTCTTGGAACTACAGACCATGTAGTTTTCTGCAGAATATATAAAATATGTCACCCATATATACATATATCATTTAAAATTCCTACAAGTTGGGTATTATTACCCTTGCTTATAAATCTATGAAAACTATAGCCAATCAATATTGAATATTTTGCTGAATGCACTGCTGTTAAATCTGAACCCACAAACTGTCCTCACAATGATGTGGACAGTTTGATCCTGGTTCCTCCATAGGGACTCAGCTTTCACATAATAGCCAGCAATGCTTATTCAGTACCAGGGGCCCCCTCTAAGGCTGGCACAGAGTTGTGAGCAAGAGGAGCATGGTTTGGGGGTGCAGAGCTTTCTCTTGGTGTGGTAGGGGCAACCACCTAATGGAAACTAGGAAAGGAAAACATGGGGTCCCTAGGTCTCTTCAGAAGGGGTCGGGGCCTCTCATGTTTGTCCACCCTAAGAGAAAAATGGTTGTCACTTTCTGATAGCAGACCCACACCTGCCATGAATGGTCCCTCATTCTGTAACACATGCCCGGCTCCTGTGCCCACAATGATCCATCCTAACCCCACCACAGACTTGCCTTTCAAGCCCAGCAAGGGCCTCCTGGGCAGGAACTGAGCTCCCTCCAACTAGCCTTTTCTATATACACCACATCATGGCTATTGGTTGAATGGATTAAATAGCATAATGGCAGTCTTTCACCCACCATCTGCAGATCCAGGAGAGCAAAAATGGAGGCTTCTGGATCCTTGGTGTCATGGGTAACAAGGAGAAAGTGGTGAGCACCTTCAGGAACACTGACATGATTGTATAGCAAACTCCTCATCCTTCAAGGGCCAATCCTGAAATAACTGCTCTAGGAAGCCTCCCACCCCAGCAACTCTTCATTCTGAGTGTACATCAGTAGTCCCCTGGTACCACAGATTGCTGGTTCTCAGCCCCAGCAGGTCTAGGGTAGGGCCTAGAAACTAGCATTTCTAGCAGATGCCCAGAGAAGGCTGCTTGTCCATGGGTCACACTCTGGGAACTGCTGTCTCACTTCCTTCCCTCTTTCCAAGACAGAGCTTCCTCCTCTGTCCAGTTCAGACCTAGGTGTCAGTTCTGGTCCTTACTTTGGGATCATTCACACCAAGCAACTTGTATATATTCAGCTCTTCTCAGCTGAAGGGGTGCAGGGCAAGGGTAGCGGACCCCCTCCATGGCCTTGAATTCCAAGGGAGGCCAGGCTGCTCCCATCCCATAGGCCTGGCCAGAATTTCTAGTGTTCCCAACACAGGCTTGGGAACAGGAACCTAAACACGTCAGGAAATTCATTCAAGGGATTCCAGCAGTACCTTGACTGGTCCTTAACCAGTTACCTGCCTGTCAGTGCCTGTCAAGTGTAACACACCGGCTGGAGGCCTCAGGCTTGAATTAGTTGACTCCTAACTCTCACAAGAGTAATATGAGCCAAGAAACGCCACAGCACTTCTTTGGAACTCAATTTCCAAATCTGTGAAACGGGAATAAGAGAAGTGCTATGAATGGGATAGTCATAGGGACAACATGAGTTAAAACATCTCAAATACTGGTAGGCAGGTGCTAATTGTTTTAACAGAAGAGGAAATAACAGTCCCTGCTTCCCCTGGCAGCTGGTTTTCCCCTGGAAAATTCCGAAGGGCAGTTCTGGGAATTGAACCTTGGTAAACATCCATGCTGATTGAAACAAGACTGTTCTTTCTTACTGAACGGTGTGGTGCTTCATAAGCAAGTAAGGTCTAGGAACCCAGGGACAGAATCCATTCATTCACACATGCATACACTTATTCATGTAATCACCTATTCAGTAGACATTAAATAAGCACCTACTATGTGCTTAACACTACATCACTACATCACAGCCTCAATCACAATGTCCCACATGCGTGAGGCCTTCCTACCCATTCTGACTCAGGACTGTGTGAGAAGCATCTCCTCTACCCTCACTCCAGGCCTACTCTTCTCTGTGGCCAGAGACCTTGTTGTATTCTCCTCGTGCCTCCAGGCTGCGTACTGACCCCAGGCCTTATAGCCCAGCTCTCTCCTCTGGGTCCCCAGCCTGGAGCCTCCACTCCCCTCCCACCACTGCCCTCCTGAGATCTGGCACCAACAGTTTCTTATCAGAAAGCAGCATCTGGCAGCCTCACTGGGGAGAATGACCTCATCACACTATAATTAAAGTGATTATCTGAGAGGAAATGACTATTATGAAGCAGGCTTCTCTGCTTTAATATGCATAGCTATTGCAGTGGGAGCATGGGATTTCCATGTTAACACTGATATTTCCATGGTCTGATAAATCCTTCTCCCCACCCATCTCCCAGAGGAGAAAAACATTCTGTGCAATGGCTCCAGGAACCATACAGGTCCCTGAACTCCTTGACACCCCAGTCCCCGGCCAGGCCAGTGAGCTCCAGGAGAACTCACTCTGTGCCTGAAATAGCACCTCAGACAACCTTCCCACAGAAGAGCAGCTGCAAAGACCTTAACTGGGGCACAGGGAGGAAACTCCAGACAGAAACAGGCTTCTCCAGGACAGAAAAAAGGCCGTCCCAAAGGGAGAACCTCCTGCAAGTCCCGAAGTCCCAGCCAACCATGGATGGGCGCTGCCATCTCGGCACCCCAACTTCAGTGTCCTACCTGTGAAATGGGTGAATAATGCCAGAGACCTCCTGGGAGTGCTGTGAAGACTTTGTGTACCATAGAGGGAAGGTAACTTACCCAGCATGTGGCATGCCCATGCTGGGTCTCCACAGAGACGGAAAAACTGAGGCCTTGAGAGGGAGGTGCTCCTTGCACTAACCATGTGTGCCTGCCATCATGCCTGTGGGGGATGTCTGTTGGTTTCTGCCAGATGCAGGAGCCGCTCTCACCAGATCAAGGAGGCAACAGGTAGTCCCTGTCCAGCACAGGTCGGCATTAGCTGGGACGCTGTGCACCCCGTGAATGACCTGTTAACCTGCTGCCTGTTCAACCCTGGCCTCGCCACAGAACTGTATGTGTGAGCAGAGGGTGAGGCCCAGTGGAGGAGCTAATGTGCTGGGCTCTTCCCCTCTTACCTTCTGCTATTTTGTTCTGTTCACAGTACCTGACCCTGGGATGGCCTCCACCGAGACGGACATCGCTATCATTGCAGGTGAGCTGTCCTGGGGCCGCAGGTAGCTGGGGACTGAGAAGCATTCAGGGCCTCACACAGGTGAGAGTGCAAGCTAGCAGTCTCCCTCCCTCAGAGAAGTCTATGAATGTGGACTGGAAGAGTCTGTGCCTGTAATGAAAGGCCCACACAGCACCCCATAGGTGAGGGTGAGGAGAGGACAGACAAGGCACACGGGTCAAGACTGCAGATCCACAGGAATTCAGAAGCTGCACAGGGGGCTGTGAGGGCGGCTGAGGGACTGGGTGGTCTGGCCAGGCCTGCTTGCGTCCCTGTCCTCTGTCTCTCTCATCCCCCACTGTTCCTGGCAGGGCTCCTGTCCTCATCCCTCCATCCTAAAGGAAATCTGACCCTGCCTTAGCTCTATTTCCTATCTTGTGTCATCACCCCAAACTATTTCAGGAACCACTAAGCTTGGGAGGTAGTTTGCTTATTAATTCTTTGGGATTCACTCCGGGCTTGTCATTACTAACTCAAAGAACCTTTACAGATAGAGAAAGAAGGGCAGGCAATAAAGATGCCTGTCTAATTCCATTTATCCAGACATTGTCCAACTCTCTGGAACACTGCACCTGGTATCTTTTAATTAGACAATATTATAAATGTGATGATGACAGCAATGTCCACACTTGAAGTAAAGGTTCAAGAATTGTTCCGAGGCTTCAGAGTAAATGCTTGAATTTGAACTTCCAACCTCACAAGAATGCCCTCCTTAGCCACAAAAATGCCCCCTTCTCCACTCCTCATCCCTGAGTGATCTGACTCCCAGAGCCAAGACCTTCCTCCTGACCCCTTCTGAGTGCCATTCCCACCAACATTTGCAGGGTATCTGCAAACATGCCCCCTCCAGTGCTTTGCTGAAAGCCCCCCTCCACACTACCTGGCAGACTCAAAGGGCTCACCCCAGGAGAGCTTGGGAGCTTGGGGGAGGGGGTGATGAGCACAACCCATATTTCACACCACACCCAGGCAGCCAGCTAATCCAGTTTCTCCTGTCTTTTTCTGGTTGTAGCATTTGAAGTATTATACCCCAGGGAGTCCTATGCCCCCTGGGAAATCCCTCAGGGCAGATTGTCTTGGCTTTAAAGGCCTAAGTGCTGGATCCTGTGAGCCCTTCAGTTCTAGGCAGATCCACAGAAGTGCAGAATACAAATTTGGCACACTCTGCAGTGACTGTCCCTGTCACTGAGATGGTGGGTGTCTGCTAGCGATCAATTTCAATTCCAGGAAATTATTGAGTAAAGGGAGGAGAGGCAGGGTGAAGAGAGAGAATGGGTAAGAATAGAGGGGAGGGAGGGGCCCTCCCTGGTAGCACAGCGTGTTAGAGCACAGCACTAAGAAGCTAAAGCCACTTGCACATGGGTTCTATTCCTACCTGCCCTGGAGGAGATCCACATGGCGAGGCAGACCTCTCCTGACCGGCCCGCTGCTCCCCTCAGCAGTGTACTTAATCAGTCTGCCTGTTCTGCTCCCCTCTCTGTCTCTGGTGAATCCTCTCACCCTCCACATCTTTGGCCTGTACCCCAGTTCCTTGTGAAAAAATAAATAAATCTTTAAAAAGAAAGAATAGAGGGGAGAGGGCCCTCTCTGGTGGTGCAGTGGGTTAAAGCACAGCACTAAGAAGCTAAAGCCACTTCAGCATGAGTTCCATCCCCGCCCCGGAGGTGACCACATGGCGCGGCAGACCTCTTCTGACCCGCCCGCTGCTCCCCTCAGCAGTGTACTTCATCTACCTGCCTGTTCTGCCCCCAACTCTGTCTCTGGGGAATCCTCTCACCACCCATGCACCTCTGGCCTGTACACCAGTTCTGCATGCAGAAATAAATAATCTAAAAATATAAAATAAAATAGAGGGGAGAGATGAGGGGGCGTGCACGGGGCAGAGAGAAGCGGGAGGCAGCAGTGAACCAGCCCCCCGGTTGTTTGTTGCTGCAGCACATCTGCCCTAGCACAGCCGAGGGTCCTGGCCCCACCTGTCCCAGGGTACCTGCCCCAGACAACCTTGCATTTCGCACCTGCAGGTGTGATCGCCGCTGTGGCCTTCGTCCTAGTCTGCCTCCTCATCGTCATGATGCACTACATGTACCGGCACAAGGGCACATACCACACCAACGAGGCCAAGGGCACGGAGTTCGCAGAGAGTGCTGACGCGGCGCTGCAGGACGACCCATATCTTCAGGAAGCCAGCGACAGCAGCAGAAAGGAGTACTTTATTTGAGGGGCCCAGTTCTAGCTCCCCCGACACCTCCTCCAACTCCACAAAAGGAAATGCACCCCCTACCCCACCCCACCACCTACACTACCAAGCAGACAGCAAGAGCTGTCTTATCCCACCTTATACCCACCTTCTCCCAAGATATGTATCTCACCTAGGCGCACAAGGTGCCAGGTGGCAGGAGGAATGGAGGAGGAATCATGCCAGGAGGGGCCTCTCCCAGGGACCTAAGGTGCAGCAGCCACCCAGGAGGTCAGCCTCTGTTCTGACGGCGTAAGTCTGGGTCAGTACTTTACACAGAAAGTACTTTGTCATGGTCATGCTAGTACAACCTTGCAGGGTGTAGCAGGGGACCAGGAAGCAAGTACATGACTCATCCACAGGCTGACAGGGGCTCAGGGCATCAAATGTCAGCCCTTGACATTTGGGGGGAACAGCAGGTGCCTGAACTAAAAGGCACTACTGTCTTCCATTGATCCAGCGCTAAACGATTGGAAATAAATTTGAAATGTAACCGAGCATTCAGAGTCAAATGGCATTGCTACCATTGTCTGGGGAAAGATCAGCGTCTCAGCTGGCTTTTCACAGGTGCATTGTGTGTTCTTGACAGAGTGTGTGGAGACAGGGCTGGGATGGTCCCTTCAGCTCCATAGACCAGATCTCTCAGAGCACAGACAGAGCAGAAGGCTCTGGGCCAGATGGGAAGAAGGGAGATGCTGTCACCAGCCTTCCTTTCCCCAGTTACCAGCTTCTAGAAGCCAGTGGAAGGTACAGTATCCTTCTAGAATGGACTGTCACAGTGGCCATGACTGGCTGCTTAGTTGGAGTGCTGATTTTCTCCTGCAGATAGAGAAAACAGTCTTGTTAACAAATATGAGTGAGCCTTCCTCTCTCCCTGAAAACAGTTAGTGACCAGTGACCAGAGTACAGACAGCAGGGCCCTGGCTCCCTCTTTCCAGGTCCTGAGACCTTGAGTTGACCTCTCTGGCCTCAGTGGTTTCACCTCTCAAGTGGGCATGGTTTTATGATACAGACACATGGGGCTGGTGGCAGGAATAGTATGTCTCCTAATGTCAGGAAGGGTGGTGGATATATAGAGTGTGCGTGGATCAACAAAGTCTCCTCATTGTGCCATTTCTAAGCGCTTCCTGAGGAGTGACCACAGTTAGGAGTGACCACAATTTAGAATGAATATGCTAACCAAGCTCCTAATGAGAATGAATCTTTGTGAGGCTCCCAGAAGCTCAGATATGCCTCCAATGATTGATTAAACCATTGACCATTGGCCTTTGAACTCAACCTCCAACTCCTCTCCTCTCCCTAGAGGCCTGAGAGTGGGATCGGAAGTACCAAACTTCTAACCATGTGGCATTTCCCTGGCAACCAGTCCCCATTCTTTAGTGCTTCCAAAACACCCCATTCACCTAACAAAAGACACCTATATTACCCTCTAATATTCAGGATATCCCAAGGCTTTGGGTAACTATGAGTTAGGAGCTGGAAACTGTGGATGAACACCAAACAGAAGGCAAATATATTTGGAACATCTGAGTGACTAATTATATACATACATAAATATTATATATACAAATTACATAAGACATAAAATATATAAATTATATAATATCTGGTCACTCAGATGTCCAAAATATATATGTATATATATATATATATAGACACACACATACATATCTCACATTCCTTATAAATCACAATGTGGCATCAATTCAATGAAAGCTGTTAAAGAGGAAGGTGAGGAGTTGAAAGAAAAAGAGAGGAGATGACTGGGGAGAGGAAGAGCAAGACGGAAAGAATAGAGTGAGGAGCACGCACATTCTAGATGAAAGCCCGACTCCTGACTCCTCTTTTTACCCTCACAACAACGCTTACTGGTGAATGGCCTCTTCCTCCCATTAGACCTATAGACACAGACACTGTACAGAGAGATTGTAGAAAGACTGACAGGCTTGCTGGAGGGCACACAGCTTCCAATGGCCAAGAGAGCACTGGGCCCCAGGCCTGTGTAACCAAGGGGTGGGAGAGAGAGAGAAAAGCCTCTTTCCTCATCAGCGGGGGCAAGTCTACAGGAAGCCTCATGGAAATCACAGGTTCAGGGACTCAGGAGGGACTCCCAGTTCTGGGGTCCAGGCTAGATCTTTGCAAATCTTACAGATTCTGTAAGAGAAATGATCTCGAACAATGTGGAACTCCAAGGATCCAGAGGCAGGTTCCACCTGGAGAATGAGCAGGACTTAGAAAGAGAAAAGGAGATTTCAGTCAGTTGTACTGCAGATAGGGACTGGGCGTCTTGGGCCCCAGCAAAAAACTTGAACTTTGACCCATGGATAATAATGATAGCCACTGAAGAAATAGGCTGTCACTGTTCAGTCACTACCGGAAGGATTATGCAATGATCAAATTAAACAGGACACAAGATGTAAATACACTGCAGAAATGTGCTTGGGGCTTCTAGAACTTATCAAGGTTTAGACACTGCTCATGTCCAACCCCTCATCTTGGACATTACTCCAATGGCCCTATTGTTTAGTCTGTATTTCACAGGACACAACCCATCCTGCCTGCTGGGAAGTAGAGCTCATCTGTTCACCAGAAGAAAGGGCAGTAGGTGAAGGCTTCCAGCCAACTACTAAGTAAATATGAAAGAAGAACTTTTTCATCAGTGGAAGGAACTCCTGATGACTTTGTCTTTTTTTATGATCCTCTCAAGGAGAAGCTGCTCATTTTCTTTCCCTTCCTTGCCTGAGCATTTCTATCATCATAGCAGTGGGGATGGTTTTTAACTGGCCAAGGGCCCTAAATGGAACTTCAGGACTTTATAGCTTGCTATTGAACATGTCAACAGGATGCTATGGAAAGAAGAGGTGAGAATTCTGTGGTCACAGCAAGGCCAGCAAGGCCAGGAACATAACCATACTTATGTGAGTTTTCCTTGTCCCCAATTTTCATGTGGGCAGTGTGTGGTCCCATGGAGCCTCCCCACACAGTGTATTTGGCTCCAGAAGAGAAACCCTGAGCAGAGACATGGAGGTACACATGCCTTCCTTCTGCTCTGGAGGAAGGTTCAAGCTCTATCTTCCAAGGTTGCTTACTGTCCAAACATCCTTGAGTGGGTAGTCTAGAGCAACCCAGAAATGTTCCAGACATTCTTTGGTTAGTCAAAAGTACATTTCATGAAGCCCTAGCGATGCTCTAAATAACTGGACACAACCCTTCAAGGTAGCCAGCCTTTCGTGAACAGATCAGAGAGCAGCTTCTGCTCTGAGGCTTGGGGGACCGAGAGTGAGGGGTATTTAAAGTAGACAGCTTTGTGCCGTCTCTTTGCTAGTATAAGAGACACAGCGACAGGGATGGTTGTGTTTTCGGTATTTTATCACAGTATCGCTGTGGGAATGTGTTAGTTCATGCATGGACTCGTAAATCCAGAGCCTTGGAGAATAGGTTGGACAGAACCCACCAGCCTCTATGACTAGTCTACCCTGTACTTGGCACTCTCTTGGCAACAGCATAGACCTCCAAAGGTGCTACATAGAGCTCTCAGTCTTGAACTTCAAAACAAACAAAACTTCAAAACAAACTTGGCCACCATTTATCTGTTACATAATGAAAGTATTTTTCTTTTTCTCTCCAATTCAAAAAGTACTTGGGAAGGAATTCTACCTTCAGGTCTGTAGAGATACAGCAGTTCCAGGTTGGCCGGCTTGAAGGCCTCAGGCACGCCACGCCCTTCCCTTCTGGGAGGGACCATTTCCTTCACATCTGTTGCTCATCAGATATTGCCTTCTAAGAGTGTGTTGAGTGAAAATAATCAGGGTCTAAGAAAATCATGACAGATTTATGTGAGAATGGGGATCAGCGTTCAGCCAGGGGGCAGTCTCAAGGTATGTTCCACCAAGGTCAGGACAGAGAGGCATTACAGGGTCAAACAGAGAAATGGTCTGAGCATGGATCACTTCTTGGAAAACTTCGGGATTAGCTCTGGAGTCCACTTGTCTTACTGTGACTGTTTGACAGGAGCCTTCAGCCACAAGCTATAAGGAGGGTTCTGCCAAGAAAACGAGCACAGGGTCTCCTGTTTTCCTTAGCAGTCAGGTTGTCCCCAACCATGGATCACCCAGCAGTCTTAATATGGCGGTCAGAGACAAGATGGCGTCTGCTGGGTTCACACTGGGTTTGGGTTCCACAGAGGGATTTTTAATCTCACAATTATGTCTGAAAAGGATTTTGCCTTTTCCGTGGCAAGTGTAGTTAGGATAAAATGAATAGTGAGAACCCAACCCAGCATCCTGTCACAGATATCCCTTCCCTCACTCCACACGTTTTCTGTTTCCATGCAATATGTGGCACCATACCCAGAGTCCACACCAACTTGGAGGACCCTCACTATGAAAGGAAATGGATTACAACAGCTCAGATTGTAAATGGTCCACAATGTAAAAACCTGAAAACTCTGAGGCAGGTCAGGGGGAAGGAGTCTTAGAGGAAGAATCCTGAAAATGTTAACCAGATGCATGGATGGGAAACTCCAAGAAGTCCAGGTGAATCAACTGAGATGAAACTTCAAGTATGCTGCTTTTCCCAGAGGCCTGTGCGGAGGCCACTAAGAATGAGGCTGGACCCAAAGACTGCAAAAAGCCAGATAAGAAGATCTAGAAACCAGACTGTGAACCTGAGTGTTGCCTAGTAAGTGTGGTAAGCCCTTGGAGGTAGGGAGGCTACAGGCAAGACACAGGGTGCAGATATGGTCAGGTCTGCACATCACTTTGAAGACAATGGTGAGGATGAATCAGAGGAGTCCTCTGCAGAGAAAGGTGGCCAAGAAATTGTTGAGGCCTGAATACAGAAAAATACCTTATAACAGACCCCTGGGAGTGGAAGCAAAATCCTTTTTAGACATAATTGGGAGATTACAAATCCCTCTGCTATACACGTGATTCCTGGCAACAATGGCACTGAGCCATCTGGGGTACCAATGAACAGCCTCCCGACCCCAGGTGGGCTCTGCTGATTGATGACATCACTATCCACTGAGGCACCTCATCTGTTTCCCACCTTTAGACTTGGAGACAACAGAGCAAACACGTGGGCACCTTGTTGGCTTGTCACTGCCTGAAGTTGAGAAACAGCTCAGAGCAGAAGCAGGTGACTCTCTGACTCTGTGAGCTTTAGCTTTCTCACTAGTAAAGAGGGGATGAAAAGCTCCATCCCACTTTCTCACAAAATTGTTAAAATGAGCCAGTGCCAAGAAATCTTTTCCTTCCTGTAAATACCCTGTTAAAATATACCATATGAAAGATAATTTTGGCTGTTTATATGGAGGGTTCCCTCCACACTCCCAAAGTTAGACATGTTTAATTTTTAAAAGGGAGGGGGGAGGGGCTAAAGAACGTAAAACTGTCCCTGAATTCTTGGCCTTTCATGGCAGCTATCCCCTAGGGAGGTAGAAGGAAGTTCTCTGATGTGTTTATTCCCCCCTACTATTTAATCACCTGCCAATGATTCTAAAAGGAAAGAATGTGC